CACAGCTGGTCTTGTTCCAGCTTGAAGGTGAGTCTCACTTTGCCTCCGGATTTGTTGTACATGCCGGATAAGGGTACCGTTGGCAGGCGCTCCTGGAGGCATGGGAACGCAGTGAGAGACACGCATCAGAAACAAAGACACACAAGGAAGGACCAGGGACAGGATGTGAGGACGTGATCACAGGAACCTCAGGAAGTCAGAAGGTGGGCCTGGCGCGTTTTCGCAACGCTCACAAAGGAGTCTGGCTTACCTGGGCACCCTTAACAGATGGCATCACATCTTCGGGTTTTCCTTTATCCAACACTTTCCTGTGTTGCTGGAACATAAGTCAGAAGAGATAATAAATGAAACAGCTGACTGCATTTTAGTCATGTTACTACCTTTCTGAAAAAGAGAGAAAAAAGCCTTCACGTTTTGGGTCAAAAGCTTTCATTGTGTACAGATTACAGGTCCTCTGACATGAGAGAGCAGCGCTGTCCGGTGGTGAGGTCTCTGATGCTAGACATGTCCTACATCCGTGCTGTCTCAGACAGTAGCCACGAAACCCTCGGGTCTAGGAAGCACGTGAAAGGTGGCTAACATAACTGAGGGACTAAATTCTCAACGTTACTGAATTTTACTACGCTTTGCGTGGCTGTTGTGTTAGACATCAAAGTTCTAGAGCAACTAAGGCTTCCGGATGCTAATTCAAATAAACTATCCCCTCCTCTGACCCCCCACCCCAAAAAAAACACTGCCACTGAAAGGGATAAACATCGTGCTAAAGAGAACCGCAAAGGGTGTTCTCCTGGTAAGTACAAAATGACAGCCATCCCTGCCAACTTCAACTCCCAAAGAAACAGTGCTGATGATCAGCCTAACTGCCTACAAGGGGCATTTCTTCAACAAATGGAAACTCAAACTACTGTAGAAATCTTCCCCACTACCCCACCCTCAACCCCAGCTACACAAAAGGCCACGAGAGACGTATTTCCGAGACAAATGCCGATTCCTCTACAGACTGACGTTAACAAGTCTGTGATCCTGCCCCTGCCCCCCAGGGTTTGAGGCAGCTTGTTAAGGGTTCTCATTAGGCTCATGGCTCCCTAAAACAGATCTTGAGCAGCCCAAATGCCTGAGCTTGTCTCCTCTCCACCGACGGCTTTATAGGTCACTGTCTGGTCACTATTTGGTAAAGCTGAAACTGGCGCAGCAAGCGGGTAAAGGGGAACAACTCCACCAAATGGAAGCATCACATGGTCATGAGCCACTTCCAACGCTCCCTGGCACGGCAGAGACCCTCTGGCAGGGATAAACTCAATACTGCCAGACTGCTAGCAAAGGGTCCTGATAAGGAGCAGCCCCAGATTCCTGAGCAAGCTGACAAAAAGCCAGGAGAACGGGTCCTTCTCATTAGGCCGTGTTAACTCCTCCTAACTAGCATCAATGAAACAGAGCAGCAGAAATTAACAGCTTAATCTGACTCATACCTCGCAAAGATCTTTTAGAAGAATCTTCCCTGTACTGTGGAAAACAGCTTTAAGGATGTTAAGCTACCATTAGTAACTCAAAACCTATGTTTAAGAAGCATATAAAGCTCCAAGGGTGTGACCGGTGGGAACACGCACTCACTTCTGACATGCTCACATTTGACAATTTCATGTATGTGGCAGAGGAAACAAGTAAGTGGAAAAGAAGTCAACTGGTTACATTTTGACCCCATATTTGGGGGTGAAAGGGTCCAAATAAATACCTTTTAAATATTAATATAGGTTTACAACTCCTCATCTAAAACCCTGTAAGTAGATGTTTTAGAGTTTTATAAAACCCAAGTCTTATGGACTTTATAAAAGCAATACGGTTTAAAAACATGTTACAAGTTATCCTCTGCAGGATCTGGGGCAGTACCTTGTCATTCGAACATATTAATGTTTTTGTAGCAAAACATGGATATTCACAGTAATTCTGGTCAAGTTTTGATGCCTGGTCAGGTTTTGGAAGCACACATAGAGGGTCATGGGCCTGTAACACAAAACTGTATCTTTCTCATACTATTAGCCATATGCCTTGGTGCCTAGAGTCACTAAAATCAATCTTGGTTCAAACTGGTCTACTCTAAAAACACAAAACTAAAAAAACAAGAAAAACAACACAACAAACAAAAATCCCCAAATTGATCTACGCTACTCGGGACACAGGTTAAGTTGAGAATATCTGTTTTCCTGGAAAGCTGCTAATTGTGGCCAAGAGGCTCCATGACAATGAGTGGGCTCTCTGGGTGGTAAGGTTGCAAGTGATGGTTCTTCCAACCAGTTCCCTCTGTAATGAAATAACTCTCACTTTTCCTAATTACGAAAAGGAATTTTAATCGCTACAATGAGCACAAGACAAGGCTGGATCTCTTCCATCCAAAATGAGCAACAGAATATAAAAAATCAGGTCTCCATTTCATGGACTAGAAGGAAAAAAAAACAAAAAACAAAGGCAGTGTAGTTATGTTCCTAGTCAGCTTCATTTGGCTTCCTGAAAAAGTCAGTTTTAGAGGAACCTCTGAAAGCTGCGGAGTTCTATGGCTATCCAGAAATGGTTTGACTTGGGGAAAGCCACAAACCAAAAAACAAATGTAAGCACTTGTACAAAATGGGTGGGGGGTGGTTCATTCTGTTGGTGGCATTCTTCTCTGGCACTAAAGAGAAACGCACATCTGATTCCTTTCAATACTTGTCTGAAGCCTGCCTTTACAAAGGCCTTATCCTAAAGTAAAGAGACTTGAGACACACTGACCCGCCAGATGAGACAAAGTTGCAAATCTCAGGTAGTTGTCACCTCCACTCAACAGTCAGCCGCACCCAACTGCTGCCATAAATTTCCATCATGGGCCCTGTCCGAAAAGGAGCTTATTCTAGGGAGAATATAACCAGCCAAGGCTCCAGAGGACAAAGCCCCAAACTTCCCAGGACTACTAATCACATGACAGACTCACTTTCTGCCTGCAGAGTGGTTCCTTCTTGTTCTCTTCGGCCTTTGCATCCTGCTGGGCAGCATCTTTGGGTGTGTTTACGGCTAAAACATCATTTATCGTGGAGCCAACCACCATGATCTTGGCTCCGCTGGCCACTTTTATTTCTCTCAACGTCTTATCCTCAGGGACGAGTCCCTTATACATGACTTTCTGCATGGCAGGAGGGAGACCTTGGAAAAAGGAGACAGTGAAAGAAAGGGATGAAAAATGTACCTGGACAAGAGCCATTTGGCAAAAGACCTCAAAATGAATACTGCTCCAGCACCTTTGTGTGCTCAGGCAACTGACAACCTCTGAGCCTGTTTCCAAAATTTTATAATTGTGACAGCAGCATTTCCTTCTGCGTAGACTTCTTTTAAGGATTGAAACAGACATTTAGTGCAGTGTCTGGCATTAAGTAATCGTTCAATAATGTTAGCTGTCATTCATTCTGAGTCGTTCCTCAATCCTCTGATCACGCAAATACTGAAAATCCACAGGCCTCAGCGATACAGAAACCAATAAGGATAAAGTTCTTGTTTTTACCCTGTGCTCACAGGCTACATGGAGAAAACTTAAAAAAGAAATCATTTCAGTTGGTGAATTACTGTTAACAAAACAAGACTAAAAATTAAATATGAGGATCCTTGAAGGGGCCAGCATGATAATCAACAGCAATGTTTCCTAAATTTCTCTTATGAGAATTACCCAAGATATTTGCTAAAAATTAATTCCTGGCCACATTCCAGAGCCACTGAATCAAACTCTCCAGGGAAAAGGGCTTAGGAGCTGTAAATTTAACATGCGCTTCAGATTTTCATGAGAGACGTGTGGAGCAGCACTGATTAGAAACCTGGGCCTAAGAGTCAGACCTGGGCCTGAATCTCGGCTCAGCCACTTTCTAGCTCTATCATCTTGGGTCTCATTTTCCCCACCTGAATAATGGGTATACCAGTACTTACTCCGGAGAACTATTCCAAGCATTGAGGGAGCGGATGCAAAGAGTGGCCCGCGTGGTGCCTAACACAGTGTGAGCACTAGGAATCGGCAGGCGGGGTGGGTTAAGGCTGCCTTGTCCCCTGACAGTACCACTACGATTACCTGTAATCGAGTGAATCTTCTGTTTTAGTTCGGAGCCTGTGCTATCCAGGGGAAACTTCACGTCGTGCTTAGTCTTATTCCAGATGATCTTCAAGTCCACCAGCTCCCTGCCCGCGCCGCCGCCCGCGTCCTCGCCGTTGCTGACCGAGGCCTGGGCCGCAGGGTCCCCAGGGGGCTGGGCCGGCGCCGGCTGCAGGCTACCTCGCGCCGCGCAAGAGTCCTCGGCTGCCGCCCCCGCCGCGGTTTCGGCCTCCACGCAGTTCAGGGGCCGCGCGGGGGCCTCGGTCGCCACCGTCTCGGCCTCCGTGTCCATGCCAGGTTCCTCCATGCCTGCAAGGGGGTTGGGGGGGGGGTGGGCGCTCGCCGCAGGCTGGGCCTGGGACCGAACCCCGCTCGGGCGCCGCCGGACCTCCGCTCCCGAGCCTGGCTATTCCCCACCAGACCGGGCCGCATCCCTCCCCGAAGCCCGCTTCACCTGGGCCCAACCCGGGCACTCGCCACCCCCGCCACACTCACCATCCGGGGCTCCGGCCGCCGCCATGATGATTGTGTACAACACCCACCACTCCCGCAGAGGCCGCTGGGAAAAAGCGACCTAGCTGAGATTGGCCCCCGCAGCAGCCCCTAATCTCGCACAGCCTGGCCGGAAACAGGTGGACGTTTCTATGGAGACCCGCCTCCTCCGCTTTCCCGGCCCGGCCCCTGCCACGCTTTAGCTTTCGGGAGCCGAGGGGGGCGGGTCCAGGAAATCTCCCGCTCAAAGGGCTCTGCCCCCTAGAGGCCTAGTGGGGCCGCAGCCGCGCTGGGGGGCGTGGGCTTGCAAGCTAGGAGGCCTGCGCCTTTAAGGGGCGGGGTTGCGCTCTCTGTGGCTGAAGCGGACTGGCTGGGAGAGGCCCCGGAAGTGATGCACGAGGAAGCCCACGTGTGCGTTTCTATTCCACATGGCGGTACTCCTGAAGAGGCTGCTGCAGTCGGTGAGGCCCCCAGCGGCCTTGGGCCGGCCCATGGGACCGCGCGAGGCCAGCCTGGGCACTGATCCCGGGGCTGCGGTGCGAGTGCGGTTCGCCCCCAGTCCCACAGGTAATCTTGGCGGACGTGACGCTGCAGGTCGCTGTCCACCGTCCCGTGCCCGCCCCCCGAATGTTCCGAAAGAATCCCTTCCGGTGGAGTCAGACTGGGCGGGCAGCGCGACCCCATTTTACAGAGGCAGAAACAGGTCTACGAGCGGAAATTATTCGCGTAGCCAGGAAGTTCTTTGCGTACCGTCTCTTTAGGTCTCTTATTCGTGTATTCAATAAATGTGTACCGAATACAAACTGTGTACTACGTACTGTTTAGGCATTGGATACGGTGGTCATCGGGAACGTATGGCTCCTGTTCTCAAGAAGCCTATGTTGTAGTGACCGCGACAAACAACGTGTAAAAATAACTACTTTTAGATAGTCACAGGTGCCACGAGAGAAACGAAGCAGGGTAGGGAGCTGGGGGTTAGGTAGGAAGCTCAAGAAGGCCTCGTTGAGGACGTATCATTTGAGCTGAGAACCAAAACACAAGAAGCTAACTACACTTAAGCCTATAGGAGGAACCTTTGGGCAGAGGAAATTGCAGGTACAAAGGCCCTGTGGTAGAGAGGGAGGCAGGGGCTCATTGTTTACCCTAGTGGAGATCTTGTCGGGGCCTCCCCACTAGTTCCCCCGGTTTTTTTCTCAGGGAGCCCACCTTCTGCCCTCTCCCCACCGAGCTTGTCTCTCTCATTCTGAACCTTAGGATCCACACGTAAGGCTTCCTTTGTGGCAGGATCCCAGCTGCACAGAGTGACAGGATCTTTCCTGGCAGGCAGTAGAATGCAGAGTGGGCTTCTCAAACTGTTGTGACAGGACTGGTTTTTAACTCCCAATTGATTGTGGATCACTATTTTTATAGAACCAACATAAATGAGTTAGTAAAAAGAAAAATTTTAAAAGCATACAAAATGTGAGCCTATTGTTACTAGATTCACCAGATATAAAATTACTCTGTCACATTGCTGTTAAGTTTCTAAACATTTATTCTCAATTTCTGTACTTTGTTGTGAACTGGCAACAGTTTGCAGACCAGCACTGGTCTGCGCCTTGCTTTGCAGAGCACTCATAGTAGTTGGGTGCCAAGGCCTGAGATTGGCTGGGTCCAGATTGCTGGCTTTGCCACTTCTCAGCTGTGTGACATGGGCAAATTACATAACCTTTCTGAGCTTCTGAGTTTTACCCTCTGTCAGGTCGAGTGATGGTACCTGCCTCATGGGTTTGAACTAATGCAGCTGAGGCACTTAGCAAGGTCTGGTGTTCCTAGAGCTTAATAAACAATATTCTCTATTTTTGTAGTTCTCATTTTCCTTGCTAATTTGCGGGAAAAGCCCATACAGAAAAGGCTGTTGACTACAGACAGATAAAAGAATTATCAAGCAACCGAGATCACTGATTACTAAAATTAATGGAAAGCTGTACTTTGATCAACATTTAGGTCTCACAACAACTGTGTAAGGGAGGTTTCCATTTTTTGTTTTTAATCTCTAACAGATGAAGACTGAAGTTCAGACAAGTGAAGTAGAGTGCCCACGGGATAGCAACCAGTAAATGGATGCAGAATTTAAATCCAGGTTTATTTGATTTAAGGGGTCTTGCTTTCAATTACTGGACCCCCGTCTTCCATCTTGGGGACCACTGATTTTGTGGTGGCCTTGCGATAACCAGCAGAAAGTCACACATAATCAGTGTTGAGCGGGAGTCTGCCTTTCGTGTCCTTTGCTGCCTCCTCTTTCTGTAGATGCAGAGAAGCTCATTGTGGAGACAGGGCCGTGGCCTGGACCGAAGAAGACAGGAGAAGGGGAAATGGGAAAATGCTTAATTTTAAGCTTTCAGTCAGGAATGATAGAAAAGTAAAATCTTAGGAGTTTGAACTCAGGTGAAGAGAAATATAGTGGAATCAAGTATTACTTTTGGTGTTCAAAGCCAGAACTTCAGGTGAAAATCGGAGAATCTATGCAAAATATAATTGTATGGTATCTCCAGTTTGTAATTAATTTTTTTTTTTACCCAAGCACATCACTGAATTTGCACACGCTAAGTGCACGTGTGATATGGCTTCCATGGATAATCCTCTGCTTGTTCTCATATGGGTAAAACTTGGCTTTGACGTCTGCCTTCAGCTCAGGTCATGACCCCAGGGTCCTGGGATCGAGCCCCGCATCGGGCTCCCTGCCCAGCGGGAGGCCTGCTTCTCCCTCTCCCACTCTCCCTGCTTGTGTTCCCTCTCTCGCTGTGTCTCTTTGTCAAATAAATAAAATCTTAAAAAAAAAAGAAAAAAACAAAACAAAAAAACTTGGCTTTGAGGCACATCTCAAAATAGAAGAGTGGAGTCTTCTCCACTCTCCATAGGAGAGTTGGAGTCTTCTTTACAACATTACACGCTCTAAGACGTGGGTGGTTTTCTGTTTCCGGGATGAGGGGCTAAATGAGTGGACCACTCCCATCCTCTGTGGCTGTATGTCTGGGTCCTGGCTAGAAAGATGGGACGGGGTAGCAGTTTTTTGAGCTTTGATACTCAGTGGGACATCCTGTTACAAGCAGGGCTTGCTTGCCTCTTGGCTGAGGCGTGTCAGTTAATCTTCCCTGTCTTGTCTGAGCTGTTCTCTTTTTTCCCCAGGCTTCTTGCACCTGGGCGGCCTCCGCACTGCCTTGTACAACTATATCTTTGCCAAGAAGCACCAGGGGAGCTTCATCCTCAGGCTGGAGGACACAGATCAGACCCGCCTTGTGCCTGGGGCAGCGGAGAATATTGAAGACATGCTGGAGTGGGCAGGTGAGGCAGGCTGGGGAAGGACCCTTCTCCAAGGGGGAAGAGGGAGCAGGGAAAGGAGCCTGTAGATCTCCTCACGGGGACCAAGATGGAGAACAAGGACTTCCTAGAGAGATGGGTACATTTGTACTGCCTCGGGTGGCACGTGCCTCCCCAAAACATGCTGAAGCTCCCTGAGGAAAAGCTCCGAGGCTGTTTTGAGGTTCCTGTTCTCACCTCAGGATCTCAGGCCAAGCATAGGATGGAGCTGGAGAAGCGAGGCCTGTAGTGAGCAGGAGAAAGCTCCAGCCCCTTTTTCCCATGTGGGAGTGCTGGCCCAGCTTGTTCAATCTTCTTACTTCCCAGAGGAGCCAGAAATCCAGGTTTTTATTACTGTTTTTTTTTTTTAATGAATACTTCCCATTGTTAAACTTGAGCCCAGATTTTTTTTTTTTTAAAAAAACCACATTGTGTGAGCCAAACAAAATATGTGCAGCCTCTAAAGTCAGTCTTGTGGGATGTTTAATCCAGAGGCCTCCTAAACTCCAGGAAGACAAGAAAGAGTGTATGCTCCCTGGGTCAACAGTTGCCTACCTGTCAGGGCAGGTATAACCAGTTAAGCTCGCCAAGGAAAAATACCAAAAATACCAAGACTTTTATGAGACGTGTATCTTAATCTCAGGTAAATTATTAATGAGACTTTGGGTTCCCAAAGGACAAAAACCAATTTCATTTGTACCTTCTGTCGTAGAATGTTATAGCAGATGCTTAGTTAAGATTAGTTGAATAAGGGTCGCCTGGGTGGCTCAGTCGTTAAGCGTCTGCCTTCAGCTCAGTTCATGATCCCAGGTTCCTGGGATTGAGCCCTACATCGGGCTCCCTGCTCGGCAGGAAGCCTGCTTCTCCCTCTCCCACTCCCCCTGCTTGTGTTCCCTCTCTCACTGTCTCTCTCTCTGTCAAATAAATAAAATCTTTAAAAAAAAAAAAAAAGATGAGTTGAATAAAGGAATTCATTCACAAAGATCACTTACTGTAATGAAGTTCCTGTTCCAGCACTGAACAGAGACCCAGGGCCCAATAAGTAGGGGAGGACAGATGAACAGATTAATTCATCCTCACTGTGACGTTAAAGTGTTGATGAGTGCGGTGGAGACAAGGGTGACAAGTTAAGGAACTGGCAGGGAGGGATCCTCTCAGATAGGGTGGTCTTCTAGGAGGAGGTGACCCGAAAGCAGAGATTGCACAGTGAAGGGCCAGCCCCGTGGTTGCCCGGGCGAAGACTATTCAAAGCAGAGGGAAGAGCAGATGGGAAGGCCCTGCTGCAGGAAAGCGTAGGGTGTGTTAGAGGAACAGCGAAGAGGCCAGCGTGGCCCAAGCACAGTGAGCAAAGCAGGACTGCAGATGTGAAGACGGGTTGGCCGGAGCTGAACCACATAGCGCCAGGCAGACCAGGATGAGAACTTGGATTTCAGGGAGCGCCTGCTACCTGTCAGGCACTGTACTAGGCACGAGTGGTACAGTGACAAACAAGTCCCACCCTCGGAGCTCCTGGTACAGCACGATTGCGTGAGTGTGGCCTGCGGCCCCTCAGCAGATCTCCCCCGCCACCAGCCTTGTGGTGAGGCAGAGCGGCGGCTGACTTCTGTAGCTTCCTGCTCCAGGAGTCACCCTGTGTTACTGTTGTTGTAACTGACATATAATTGACCGGATATGAAATTCACCATTTCAAAGTGTACAAATCAGTGTTTTTTTAGTATATTCACTATGTTATGCCAGCCGTCACCACCATCCAGTTTCAGAACATTTCCATCCTCCGAAAACAAAATCCTGTACCTATTAGCAGTCGCTCCCTATTCCTGCTTCCTCCCAGCCCGGCAATCACTAATCTACTTTCTGTCTGTGCGGTTTGCCGCTTGCGGACATCTCAGATAAATGGACTCGAACAACATGTACCTTTAGTGACTGGCTCTTACTTAGCGGAGGGGTTCTGTGTTGTAGCACATGTCAATCCTTCATTCCTCTTTGTGACCAAATAATATTCCTTGTATGGAAATACCACCTTCTGTTCATCAGTGGATGGGCATTTGGATTATTTCCACTTTTTTGACTCTTTTTTTTAAGATTTAGTTATTTTAGAGAGCGCATGGGGGATGGGCAGAGGGAGAGAGAGAATCTCAAGCAGACTCCCCACTGAGCACGGAGTCCGACTCTGGGCTCCATCTCACGACCCTGAGATCATGACCTGAGCCGAAATCAAGAGTTGGACGCGTCACCGAGCTACCCGGGCGCCCCACTTTTTTGACTCCGTTGAATGGAACTGCTGTGAGTATTTACATACTAGTCTTTACATGAGCATACATTTTCAGTTCCCCTAGTGGAATCACTCTTAGGCCCTGGGGCGATCCAAGTACCAAACATGTTAAGGTTAGGTCAGGAAGGGACTCCCAAATGTACTTAAGTCACTGTCTTTTCTGACAAATGAAGAAATAGAGGCCCAGCAGGAGAGGGAGCTGAATGATCATGATCACAGCCCAAACTGACTGACTGCTTAGCACTTAGATAACAAGGCACTGAGCACTTCATGTGTGTTGGCTCGTGCTAACAACCTGGTGATGCCCAGGAGAGTTATTATTCATAACGAGGAAATGGAGGCTCTGAAGGGTGACTTGCTCAAGGCCCCAGAGCGGGCCAGTGTGTTTGAACCCAGGCCTGTGTGCCTGCAGAATCTGTGTTAATGTTGGGTATGCAGGATTAATCATGTCCTCACTTTCCGAACTCATTGGAAAGCCATTTGAGGGCAGAAACACCACCGTCCGGCTCTCCTGTGTCCCTTCTATCTCTACGGGAAGTGTTTATTGGTTAAATCTGTCCTTTGTGACCTGAGGAAACTGGACCTTGGGTTGGGGCTGTGGCTTAGAACAGGTCCCATTTCATTTCACCGCACACAGCGTGGCAGCTCTGCAGGTGAGCCTCGGGCTGAGCGCTGTGTAAGTGCTGACGCATCCCGTTCTTGCTGCCACTCCGCACGGTAGACCGTCCGCTCTGCTTTGCGGGGAAGGCTGCTGAGGTTAAAAGCATGGATTCTGGGGCCTGCTTGTCTGGGTTCCCATGCAGTTGCACCCCTTGTCCTTGGCCAAGTGAGGGAACAGAGCCCGTCTGTGCCTCAGTGTCCCTATTGAAGGGCATCAGGATGGCATCTACGTGGCAGGGCAGTTCTGAGGCTTTAGTGGAGATCATAGAACATAAAAGCAGCCTGGCAGGTGCGTGGTCCTGCACTCTCACACATCTTCAGGGTCCCTTGTCCCAGCTTCTGAGGCATAGGACCAGGGCCTGCCGGGCTGTGCCCTGACCCATGCCTCGTTCTCCTGAGCTAGCTGTTCCAGGCCTGGGCTGCTCTCCCGCTCCACGGGGAAGGGATGGGAGGAGAGGAAGTGCTGTCGGGAGCATGGACTGTGGAGGCAGCACACCTCCGTGACTCCTTATGCGGCAGGCCCCACGACCTTGAGCCCTTAGCCTCTTTTATCTCTCAATTTCTTATCTGTACAAGGGAAATCGAAACAGTAATGACCTTGAGGATTGTTGTGAGGATTAGGAGCTTTACTGTTTGCCTACAGCACAGAGAACAGTGCCCAGGAACCAGTGCTGCGAGCATCTTGGTGATCATGGTCTCTTGCTGTGTCGCAGGCATCCCGCCTGACGAGAGCCCCCGCCGGGGAGGTCCTGCCGGGCCCTACCAGCAATCCCAGCGGCTCGAGCTGTACGCCCAGGCCACGGAAGCGCTGCTGGAGTCTGGCGCCGCTTACCCCTGCTTCTGCTCACCGCAGCGGCTGGAGCTCCTGAAGAAGGAGGCCCTGAGGAACCATCAGACGCCCCGGTGAGAGCCCCAGCCTCTCGAGGCTGCTTCCCCGAAGTTGCGTATGTCCCTGGGCTGTTGCTGCGGAACAGATCGTCCCCAGACTGTGGTCCCTGCACGGCCTCTGGGTCGGGAGCCTGGGCACAGCCTAGCTGGCTCCCTCGGTTCAGGGTCTCTCGCAAAGCTCCAGTCAAGGTTTTGGCCAGGTTTGCGGTTTTCTCAAGGCTTGGCTGGCGGAGGATCTTCTTCCGTTTCTCTCGTGAGGCTGTTGGCAGACCTTGGGCCGCACTGGCTGTTGTCTGGAGACTCGAGCTCCTTGCCATGCGGGCCTGGGCACAGGGCAGCTCCCCGCGCAGCAGCTGGCTTCGCTGCGAGTGAGCCAGACCGAAAGCAAGAGAAAGCAAGCAAGACAGAAGCTCGGGTCTTTTCATAACCGAATCCAGGAAGGGACATCTCACCACTTCTGCTGCATTCTGTTCATAAGAAAGAAGCCACTAGGTCCAGCCCATGCTCCAGGGAGGGGATGCCACGGGGGCAGAAACCCCGGAGGCGGGGATCACTGGGGCCATGTCAGAGCTGCCTGCCACATTGGCTCTCGGGCAGCCCTAACGTGTCATTTCAGTTATTGGTTGTTCTGAGGAAGTAAAATGTTTTCAGGTCCAGAGAGCTATATGTGCAAAGGTCTTTCCTAACCCTGACTCTGGCCGCTCCGTTTCCCTCGCCATAGACAAATGCCGTTAGAGTCTTCTTAGGTCTCCTCCAGAGACACTGGGTGCAGACCCCGAGAAATGCGTATTGTTTCTCTTCTCCCCGATTTCAGTGGCAGCACACAATATGCGGACTGTGCAACTTAACTGTTCCCACTTACCATCTTGAGGAGACCCAGTCTGTACTGGCCCATAGATTTTTGTTTGGCTTGTGCAGTATTCTGCCGTACAGCTGTACCAGCCCTTAACCAGTTTCTTACTATTGAAGCTTTCTGCCATTTCTAATCTGTAGTTAAAACAGAAGAGCTGGGGTGGATCGTGGTGGCATACATCATTGTACACATGTGCAGGGCATTTGTTGGAGACCCTCCTAGATGTGGGGATCCAGGGCCAGTTTGGAGCTTTGATAGACACTGCCCTGTGGCCCTTGACCACCTTACTTCCCATCAGCAGTGGCATCGGGACATCTGAGTTCCAGATGTTTACTTATTTATTTTTAAAGAATTTTATTTTTTTGTTTTTTTTTTGAGAGAAGGCGCATGTGTGTGAACGCGGGGGGGCTGGGTGGAGGGGCAGAGGGAGAGAGAGAATCTCAAACAGGCTCCACACTGTGCACGGAGCCCAGTGTGGGGCTCAATTTCATGACCCTGAGGTCACAACCTGAGCCGAAATCCAGAGACGCTTAACCAGCTGATCCGCACAGGAGCCCCTATTTTTAAAGAATTTTAAAAACTTTTTTTAAGTTTATTTAAATAATCCGTACACCCAATGTGGGGCTTGAACTCACAACCTTGAGCTCAAGAGTCAGATGGTCTTCTGCCTGAGCCAGCCAGGCGCCACCCCCCCTTCCTTTTTCTTTTTTTAAGGTAGGCTCCACACCGAATGTGGGGCTTGAACTCACAACCCTGAGATCAAGAGTCGCAAGGTCTACCGACTGAGCCAGCCAAGTGCCGCTCGGAGTTCCAATTTAAATGAACTGTTTGGGCAAGGGCTGGATGTTTCTATGAGGTCATGACATTCATTGCAGCATTGCTCTTTTATTATAAACAGTCCACTTGTCCGTTGGCAGAAGGTTCTTTTTTTAAAATTATGGTCAAGTTCTCTTGTGGAATCCACACAGCTGTTTACTAATTGAACACTTAACTCTGTGTTAAGGAGTATGTTTTCAAGCCTTACATTTGTGTATCAGGATGCTTTGGGGAGCAAGTAATGGAATGCCCTGTGGAAAAGGGACAAACCAGGGGACCAGGCTGGCTTAGTCAATGGAGCACGCGACTCTTGATCTCAGGGTCATGAGTTTAAGCCCCATGTTGGGGGTAGAGTTTACTAAAAGAAATAAAGAATTAAAAAAAAAAAAAAAGGGACAAGCCAGAGCTTCTCGTACTTTCATGTGCAGATGGCTCACCTGGGGATCTAGTTAACACGCAGATTCAGATCCACCAGGTCTGGGATGCGGCCCGAGGTGCCACATTTCGGACCGGCTCCCAGGTGGGGCTGCTGCTGGGGGTCCACAGAACATACTTGGGAGTAGCCAGGGCATAACCCACACAGACATTTACCACTTACTCTGCAGACGTCTGGAGGTGAGGCAGCAGCTCTTTCTGCCCGTGGGTCCCATCCCCATGCTTTAGTAAAACCACCTTTTTGCACCAAAAAAAAAAAAAAAAGTCTGGAGGTGAGAGACTCAAGGATAAAACCAGCAGCTTCAAGACATCAGGGCTCTGTTTTGGCTCCTCCCTGCCTCCCCTGCCCCACCCCCATCCGTTGCGAATGGCTTCAGTGGCTAAAGTGGCTCCAAGCGTTCTGACCTCATAGGACAGCAGCTGAAGAGCGCAGAAGGAGAAGGCAGGGAGTAAAAAAGGGGATTTTCCTCTTGTGGCTCTTTCACTCTCGATTGGAGAGAAAATCTTTCCCAGGACCCTAACCCTCCCCTGCCTGCCCCCAAGCAGACTTTTCTTTGAGTCTCAGTGAGTAGAGTGGTCCTACCTGGACCAGTCGCTGGCATAGGGGAAGGAGATTGCATGATCGGCTACACCAGCCGTGATTCAACACCGGGGACTCGGCATTTTGCCATTTCCTCGCTAACGAAGAAGAAGAGGGACAGGCTGACAGGTAGGCGTGTCTGTCATGCTGTTATCTCACTTGGTTTTCCAATATATCCCTCTTCTTCTTGTCCCTGTTGGAGACCGGAAAAAGAGCTAGAGAAGTACATGACTTACCTAGGTCATCCAACTATCAGAGACGAAGATAGAACTCACGTCTGTTTTTGGTGCCCCTAGCTACCATGCTGCTCTGTTCTCCGACAGGTATGACAATCGGTGCCGGAACCTGAGCCAGGGGCAGGTGGCCCAGAAGCTAGCCCAAGGCCCCAAACCTGCGATCCGCTTCCGCCTGGAGGGGGAAGCGCCAGCCTTCCAGGACCTGGTGTACGGCTGGAATCGGCATGAGGTGGCGCATGTGGAGGGGGACCCGGTCATCCTGAAGAGCGATGGCTTCCCCACATACCACCTGGCCTGCGTGGTGGACGACCACCACATGGGCATCAGCCACGTGCTGCGTGGCTCCGAGTGGCTGGTCTCCACCTCCAAGCATCTGCTCCTCTACCAGGCTCTGGGCTGGCAGCCACCTCGCTTTGCCCACCTGCCCCTGCTCCTCAACAGGGATGGCAGCAAGTTGTCCAAGAGGCAAGGGGACATTTTCGTGGAGCATTTTGTGGCTGCTGACTTCCTGCCGGATGCCTTGCTTGATATCATCACCAACTGTGGCTCAGGGTTTGCAGGTACCCACCCACCTGGGAGGTCCCCATGGGACCATAGCAGTGAGGAGCTGGGGCTTTGGTTCAGGCCCACCTGGTCTTCAGCCCCGGCTATGCCACCTGCAGTCTTGCCAAAGTTTATTCTTGTGTTTATTGAGCCAGAAATGGTGTTAAGTGCTGGGGCTACAACAGTGAACGAGATAGATGTAACCCCTGCCCTTAAGGACCTTATGGTCTTTGAGCCTCACCTGCCTCATCTATAAAATGGGGATAAGCATCTTCCTCATAGGGTTAGGATGCACTGAGCTCATGAGTATGAGGCATCCAGGAAAGTATCCGCCATGTAGAAAGCACGGAAATTACAGATCTTTTTTTAAAATTTTATTTATTTATTTGAGAGAGAGAGAGAGCACGAGCAGGGAGAAGGGGTAGAGGGAGAGGGAGAAGCAGACTCCCCACTGAGCAGGGAGCCCCATGCAGGACTCGATCCCAGGACCCTGAGATCATGACATGAGCCAAAGGCAGCTGCTCAACCGACTGAGCCACCCAGGAGCCCCGAAAATTACAGATCCTAGGATTATGACCATTATATTACTATCTCTGTGGCAAGTATGGGTTTCAGCAGTGTTACTAAGATTACTATGACCCTAGTTTATTTCAGTTGAGCCTTTACCCTTGGCCCAAGACTTAGAGCCCAAAGGTTAAAGAAGCACCAAATTAGGATGACCTCTTTGTGGAGGGGATTTCTGAAAATGTGGCAGTGATAGTCTGCTTACTGTTTATTCTGCTCTTATCTGGCTTACTCCTTGAAATATCCTTGAGAGAGAGATATTTATTATCCCTGCTGTTTTTTTTTTTTTTTGAAGATTTTATTTATTTATTTTGACAGAGAGAGAGACAGCAAGAGAGGGAACACAAGTGGCCGGGGCGGGGGGGTGGGAAAGGGAGAAGCAGGCTTCCCACAGAGCAGGGAGACTGATGTGGGGCTCGATCCCAGGACCCTGGGATCATGACCTAAGCCAAAGGCAGACGCTTAACGACTGAGCCACCCAGGTGCCCCATCCCTGTTGTTTCTAAGAGGATTGAGAGGCTCGGAGAGGTTTGAGTGACTTACCAAAGTCACACAGCCTGTAAGGGACATGGCAGAGATTCCCTTGAGGCCCAGGCCTGACTATGATGCCCACTGATTGTATGGGGCGGAGCTGCTGCTCAGGAGGAGGGACTCCTAACATGGCGATTCTCAACGCTGCCTGCACTTGGGAATCACCTGGGAGGCTTGTAAAACATACTGATGCTCAGACCGCATCCCAACCCAGTGGAATCAGAATCTCTGGGTACAGCCAGGCCATGAGCATGCTGTTCCTGCAGCTCGCATCTTTGGGGGCAGTGAGGGTCGTTTAGCCTGATTGTTTTCAAACTTGCTTTTTCTGAGGGACAGAATCCTTTCTGTACATGAAAGCTCATTCGGATCCTTGATCTATAAAAGAGCTAGAAGTTGAATCCTTTTGGTCGGAATGCAATGGGGAACCCAGAACATGCTCACCCAGCCTCCCTTGTGATTGAAAGGAGAGGCAGGGGGCTGAGGCTGGGCGTGCCTACTTACAGAGAACCAGATGGGCAGGACCTTGCCAGAATTGATAACACAGTTTGACCTGACCCGGATCACCTGCCACTCAGCCCTGTTGGACCTGGAGAAGCTCCCAGAATTCAACAGGTGAGTGGGGAACCTTGGCGGGGGCGGGGGGGAACGCTGGTAGAAAAGGACTTTCTTGCTAATGATGGGTCTCCAGGGCAGAGGGTATAGTGGGCTTTGGAGTCACATGGACCTGATTTTGATTGTGGGCTCAGGTGTCTACCGTTCTGTGACCTGACACAGAGCATGTAAGTCACCTAATCTCCTGGATCCTCTCTTTCCTCTTCTCGAACATGGGACTGATAACAGTACCCACCTTGTGCAGTTGTCGTAAGAGTTCAGTTAAACGTTGCGTCAAAGTACTTTGCACAGCCCCTGGCACATAGAAAGTGTTCAGTAAATAGTAGGTGCTGTTTTTGTCATTACCATTGTCCCGGCCATCCCTGGCATGGATTCTGTTAACCACGGCCTGGAGAAGGGGCATCTTCATCTCAGAATCACCCCCCAGCTCCCGCAGCCAGCGGTGAATGAGCGTTGTCTCATGGCACCTGTTGTACATTTCACGTAGTTCTTCACTCACACCTCTAAATCCAGTTACGGTTCAGGTCACTGTTGACATATCCATCTAAGGGTCTCAGTGGTAAAGCCAGTGGACAGATGTGTACTTAAGGGACAAGGGACTCATTGATGCCATGTCTTGAGCACCGGTTTGGGGACAGGCTCTCCTTAGTGCTTTACTTGCGTGAGCCCAGAGAGTTCACATTGACTGCAGGTGTTTTAAGGATGTTACTTCATTTATTTCTCCCATTAGACCTCTGAGGTCAGTTGCCTGACTCTGCTCTATTTTGCATACGCAGAAACCGAGACCTAGGGCAGTTCCATAACTAGCCCAAGTTCACACAGTAAATAGCAGGCATCTCTCGAATGGGGCATTCAAGAGCGAATGCAACTTGTATCCTACTTCACTGATTGTACGGAAAGCAGCATCTCAGGGAAATGGGGACAGAATGGGGGAGATACCTGGTGACCCAATCTAGTCCCCCCGAAGCGTGAGGGCGGCCAGAGGAAGGTAGAGGTGGGCTTTGCTCAGCGTGAATCAGGGAGGAGGTGCAGTGTTGGAACTGACGCTCATGAAGTTAATGCAGCCAAAGCTGTCACGTTTAGATGTTTCTGGCATCAAGCCACTGCTGTGATTATTTCCGTGCTGGTAGTAAAGGTAGTAATAGTAGTTGTCAGACCAGTACTAGGGGTGTGGTGGTGGGAGTAGTAACAGTAATGACCGTCTGTCTGGCACTTACCGCCTCCCAGGCCCCGGCCCTGGCGCGTGTTATCTCAAGCTTGGCCACTAGGGTCTCTTGATTGCTTTCTTTCTACTGTCTCATCTCGCTGCTGAGGCGGTCTTAGGAACAGTTTCAGCATGTGGTATTAATTCCTTTTTAAGAAAATCATTATGGGGGCGCCTGGGTGGCTCGGTCGTTAAGCGTCTGCCTTTGGCTCATCATCGGGCTCCCGGCTCTGCGGGAAGCCTGCTTCTCCCTCTCCCACTCCCCCCTGCTTGTGTTCCCTCTCTTGCTGTGTCTCTTTCTGTCAAATAAAATCTTAAAAAAAAAAAAAAACTATTAAAAAAAAATCATTATGTTTTTTAGATAGTTGTGCGCTCTCTAGATAGCTTCCCAGAGGGTCTCCTCCTTCCACCGCTGATGTGCGGGAGCCTCTGTTCTGACTCCCTCCCATCTCCAGCTCTGTGCTTTACAGATGGTCCCTCATTTAATCTGCACAGTGCCCTGTGACAGAGCCCTCCCTTCCCCCGTCATCCCCACATGATCGTGAGCATCCTGAGGCTCTAAATGTTCCTGTAACTTGCAGCAGACATCTCACAGGGCTGGTCTGATCCGCAGGCCTGTCCGGTTCCAGAGCCCAGGACATAACTCACCCACCACTGCTGCCTGCCTTCCATGTCAAGGACAAGGGCCAAGCTCCTGCAGATTGGTCCTCAGGCCTGTACCTCTCCTTCTCAGGTCCCTCCGACATTGCTGGGGACATGGTGAGGGCAGCCTAGGGAGGGGACTGAGGACTGACAGGGCCTGCTTAGAGGCTTTGCTGCTTCCAAAGAGAGGGAACAAAGCAGTTAGAAGAATTCTGGAAAAGAGAACATTCGAACTGACAAGAAAACCTGAACTTTTTAACTGTGAGCCCTGGATTGAAGGAACTCTGTCCTCTGAACTGTCCCCTGGCTTCGAATCCTAGAAATCTGTATTCTTGACCTCTGCCTCTTTGTGCCAGAGCCCCATGCTTTAAGCTGTGCCAGGAGGCAGACACTTGCAGAGTCTGCCTTGTAAACTCGGGTGCCTGTAGAGACCAGGCCGGTGGCACAGGGGTGGGTGGCCGGCCGGGAGAGGCACTGGGGAGCAGAGGGCCTGGAAAACTGGAGCATGCTGTGCCTGTGAGCCAGGCAGCCTCCACTCTGCACTAGCCACTGAAGCTTGGGAAATTCGGGCCCTTTGCAGCCAGATCTTTGGATTTCCTGAGAGAGATGACAGAAATCTCTATTTTTATGTGATCTCTTCCTAGTTTAAAATGTTAGCTCCTATTTTAGAAACACTGAAAACAGGATATCCTTCTGGGTTGCTTGGGGCTCTCAGGCTGCTGCAGACCTTGGCCAGATCCCTTTCCTGTATATATTCAGTTTCTAGGCTGTGGGAGGGGCAGCTCACATCATGTGTCATTCTTCCAACCCGCCTCCCCCCCACCAGCCCTGCTCCCCTGGGGAGAGAGGGTTTGGGCGGGCTGGCGATGCCAGTGTCAGGACGGTCCCTCGGCTTCTCTTATAGGCTGCACCTCTGTCGGCTGGTGAGCAACGAGACCCAGAGGTGCCAGCTGGTGGGGAAGCTGCAAGCCCTGGTGGAGGAGACGTTCGGGAGCCAGCTGCAAGACAGGGAGGTCCTGGACCCGGCCTACGTGGAGAGGATCATCCTGCTGAGACAGGTGTGGTGTCGGGGAGCTCCGGGAGACTGAAGGAGTGGGTGGCACCCCTATTGTGTCCGAGTGTGTCCGAGCCCTGTCCACAGCACATCCAACGACTGCCTCTTCCCCCTAGGGTCACATTTGCCGTCTGCAGGATCTGGTCTCCCCGGCACACTCCTACCTGTGGACTCGGCCTGCTGTGGGCCTAGTGCAACTGGGCACCATTTCGGAGAAAGTGGACGTGATTGCCAAACGCGTGCTGGGGTGAGTTCCTACAGGCCAAGCTCAAGGCTCCGCACCTGACTTCCCTTTTCCGGGGCCCCCTTCCTCCAGGGCTGGCTGTGGGGCCCCCATACCACCCCATGGCTGGCAAGAGGGTTTGGACAAGATGATCGCTGACTGGCTCTGTTTGGCAGGGGGGCTTCCCCAGAAGAACCCAGACCCTCCCCGGAAGGGGCGGCGTGTTTGGGCTTTGGGGTTGGGTCTCCCTATGTTCCCTCCCAGTACCGCCACTTACCTGGTTATTCTCCTGCCCACACGGCATCACTGTGGCCAACTTACTGCACCTCTTTAAGCTCCCATTTCCTCGTCTCCAAGGTAGAGATGACACCATAGTTCTTACCTGTGAACAGGAACAGAAATACAACCAAAGCTGGCTTAAGCCCAGTCTCATGCAGGGGCCAAAAATATGTCACCAAGACCTACTTTTTCTCTCTGTCCCTTTGGTTTTCTGCTCTGTACTTCTTCGTACTGGCTCCTTTTTCTGCAAGGACTCTGCTTTGGGTGGGTGAAGGGTAGGACTTCTACCAGACAACAGAAACGATAGTGCTTACCCCATATGGAAATGGCCATCCAGGGCTGAAGAGCTTTTCCCAGGTCTCCAGGGTCCTGCTGTCCCTAGATTTTGCTCTTGTCCATGTGGTGCATGGTGGCTCACAGATCATCCACAGTTCAGCCAGAAGAGGAAGGAGGAAAAAGGGAAGGACGGGACGCTCCTTCCCCTTACGGACCTGACTTAAGAGTTACACATTCATTTCCACTCGTATCCTGCTGGCTAGAACGCCTGTCTTGGTGGCCACACCAAGCCACACACATGGAAAATATAGATTTTTTTAACTTGGCAGCCATGAGGCTGGCTAAAAATTTTATCACTGCATACGAAAGGGAGAAAGGATAGAAGGGACCAGTGGCAGCCTCTCTCCTATCTGCACTCTGGCTGTAAGACCGCACCAACACTGCAAAGCCTCAGCTGTGTCTTGAGATGGACGCTGACAAGAGTCCGGGTAGCCTCGTTTTCCTGTCCCCGAACCAGTCATCAAAGCCTGGAGAGTGTGACGTGCCAATCAGCGTAGGTTAGCTCATCATCTCCTGGGCTCTAAATGGACCCCCAGTCAGGGCACATGGGCTGAGAATGGGAGCCAGGTGATTCCCCAAGGAGATTTGGGGTATCAAGAGAAAGGCAGATGGATGCTGGGCAGCAAAACCCACAGTGTCCTTTTTATTTACCTTTTCCCACCTTTATTGTGAAGGTTAAAGTAGGTAATAAGTGTTTGCTTATGTACATGCCTGTAGCAGGCTATTATATATATTCTATACATTAGGTACATATACATATGTATATGTGAGGGGGGGGTGTGTGTGTACTTCACAGCAACTAATGAAGTCTCAGGTTAAAACGTTATCTCCATTTTATAGATGAGAAAATTGAAACACAGAGAGGCTAAGTAACTTGTCTAAAATAATAATAAGTTGAAGGAGCAGGGATTCAAACCCAGGCAGGCTGGGACTACAAGGCCATATGTTTCTCTGTGCAAAGTACTTGGACAGTGCCTGATACCTGGAAACCTCAATATATTTTAATACATATTTGGAAGTGATAAGAAAACAAGCACATGGCAAAAAATACAGTAATGTACAAATGGTACAAGAAGGTCTATAGCAAAAAGTGTGTTTTCCGTCCTACTCCAGCTCCCAACAGAAATGCACCACACTTCGCAGTTTCCTCTGCATAATGTGAGAGTATTCAACAGTATGTTTATATAACTCCGTTCTTAGAAGTTCTTAAATTTTAAATTTAGTATTTTGATTATGAACATGTTCAAATCTCTCAAACCTGGTTTTAAAGCCTAGAAAGTATAAGAAAGGTAGATAATTGGGAAACCCATTTCTATCCTTGTCCCCCATCCACCCAGTTTCCAAACCCTCTGTACGTTACTACTATTCCTAATTATATCTAAATGATCCTTCTTTTTTACACAAAAATACGGTAACACTGTTCTGTTCTATGTCTTTGGTTTGTTTCACTTAAGATACTGTGGATCTGCCCAGTGCTTAGAGAGCATTCTCATTCTTTTCTACAGCTACACCTATCCCATTATGAAACCACTTTACCATAATTTATTTAACTCATTTCCTATTGATAGACATTTGGACTGCTTCCAGATTTTACCGTTACAAACAATGCTGCAATGAATAGCTGTGTATAGACATCATTAAGCAGGTTTGCAAGTATATCTCCAGGATAAATTCCCAAGAGCCATTATTGTTAATACTCCCTTAATTTATGGCATTCTACCATAGGGGCCCTTAGTTCTGATTCACCAGGACCATTGCCTTAACTCCCATCCCTGCCATGGGGTTAGATTTCAGAGACAGTCTGGTGCTCCCACTCAAGGCAGGAAAACCAATACTCAAGCATTCCAGAGCTGCCAGATTTCTCGAAGTCCCTTCTGTGCCCACGCCAAGCTCTGGGCCAGCTCTAACGTTTCCTGAGCTGCCATTGTTGGCCACCTGGGGCCTGTCACTCTTTCACCAGCTCCTTGGCAGCCTGCTTCCCCACAGTGACGTGGAGGAGAGTACCTATTTTTTCCCACGTTACATTTTATATCTTCCGGATTTTGTCTCCTGGAGTTTGGAAATAACAGTCATCATGTGGCCCAGTTAACGATGTAGTAAGAATGATTACTTTTGCCTCCCACTGAAACTCAGTTGCTCAAATGCGGAGTTAAGGAGGGAATCTGTCAGTGCGAAGCGGCAGTCTCTTCGCGTTACTTCTGAATGTGGTTCCCCGGGGCCAGTAGCCCCCGCACAAAACCCAGCCTTGGAAGGGGGCTCTCTCGACCCCAATGTGCACAGGCGGTATCACAGGCATCATGGATCGTCTGCACCGGCAAAGCTCTCCAGCTCCAGCTCCTGGGCAGCATTTCCAGTTGGAGGCTCCATAGTAGCTGAAGGGAACTGGCAAGGTGCCATCAAATAGACCCACCCCACCCTGCGTCTATCTTATGCTCCAACTCAGAGTTGTTGTTATTCTTTTTTGGCAAATCCAGCTCTAAGTGATTGGGGAGTCTCTTGAAACTCAAGCGCACTTGTGAGAGAGGATCCCAGCTGGCCTGCCAGGAGAGCAGAGAGCAGTGACTGGCCTATTGGATTTTAGGTCTTGAGTGCTTCAACTTGTAGGCAAAGAATGGTTGTAGCAAGAAGGGGGCGCCAGGCCGGCTCAGGCAGAGACCTGTGCTCTGGTGGCCCCGGGCAGCGGGCACCGTGACCCTCTTCCACTTTGGGAACTGCTTCACCCTGGCCTACTTCCCCTACTTCATCACGTCCAGGTGCAGCAGTCTGCCGAGTACAAGGCCTTCTGGAAGTGCATGCAGGCTGGGGTCACCTACCTCTCCATGCCACTGTGCAAGATGCTGTTCCTGGCCGCTGGGAAGGCGGCATCTGTGACTTCACTGGGCAGTTCATAAAGGCCAGCATGGATGTGCAGACTTGATAGGCCTGGGATCTCATTGTGTCCCAGAGTGGAGGCAAGGGAGAGTGCAAGAGCATGGTTGCTGCCCTAAAAATTAAAAAAAAAAGAAAGGATGTTTGTAGCAAGTTGGTGGCAGTGGTGTTACAGGAGCTGGGGTCTCCTGAAATCTTTCTTCCTGCCCTTCTGTGCTATACACTCCCCCAAAGAGCCTTCCCTCCACTGCATTTCAGGTAATTTCCCAGAGGGCTTCCTGTGAGGTGCAGACACTCTTACTATCCCCACTTTACAGATGAGAAAACTGAGGCATAGAGATCACATAATACTGAGGTAGACATTAGTAAAACCTCTTATTATGGAGTTTTCCTATATTGTGCTTGGATTATCTGTGTATGTGGTCTCTTGGTGATTTTTCTTCCTCAACTTGGATGGGGGTGGGGGTAATAGATCTTCCTTCCCTCCCTTCTCCCCCAAGCAGGCTTGAAGAGTCACAGCTGACTGTTCATCTTCTGAAATTCTCCCTTTCACCTGCTTGCCACTGGCCCCCATAGATTGGCTCTTTCCTAGGCTTTTGTTCAGTTTTTTTTAAGTTTATTTATTTATTTAATTGTTACTATTATTAAGTAGGCTCCATGCCCAGTGTAGAGCCCAGTGCGGGGCTTGAACTCACAATCTCAAATCAAGACCTGAGCTGACAAGAGTCAGATGTTTAACCGACTGAGCACCTAGTCGCCCCTGTTTATTTTTTTTAGTAATCTCTGCACACAACGTGCGGCTCGAACTCACAACCCTGAGATCAAGAGTCACATGCTGTTCCAACTGAGCCAGCCAGGCATTCCTCTTTTCTAGGCTTTTGGAAGGACCTGGTACGAGCTTAACTCAGGACATGCTGAATAGCGAACTGAGGAAGGTATCCGAAGGCCTGGAAGGGACCAAACACAGTACTGTGATGCGGCTCCTCCGAGTGGCCCTCAGTGGACAGCTGGTAGGTGGGCAGATGGGCTGGACGGTTCCCTGGAGCCCCTCATTCATCCATTCAGCTGGCATTCACTGGCCGGCACTAAACTCTGGCTCAGGGATACAAAGACAAATGAAGCGGGATCGTTCCCTTCAGTCACTTAGCAGATAGTATCTATGGAGTACCTACTGTGTGCAAGCACCGTGCTGGGTGCAATGGGTACAGCAGTTAATGAAACACACCTACTCCCTACCTGTATGGAGCTGGTGGTTGAACGGGGGCAGTAAACATATCAGCACAGGAATACAGGCTCCTGGGAGCCAGCCTCAGCCGCAGAAAGTAAAGACAATAGAAGGCTAACTGATCCTTGGGGGGCGGGCAGCAGTACTGGGGTTGGCCTGGGGCAGAGCGCCTGCAGACCAAGACTGGCCGTTTGCTCTTTCAGCAGCTTAAGGCAATGAGGCAGTGTTTTCTTTTTTCGTTCTTAGCAAGGACCCCCTGTAGCCGAGATGATGGTGTCCTTGGGAGCGAAGGAAGTGCGGGAACGAATACAGAAGGTGCTTTCCAGCTAGAGAGCAGATGTGCAGGACAGTGGAGGTGGCCCTAGGAACCTGGATGGGCCTGGAAACCACCTTCAGAGGGAAGCGGAGGGGCCTGGAGCCCATCAGGAAGCTCGTGGAAGGAACCCCGAGAGGAAACAGTCTGCGGGTGCACACCAAGGGAAGCGGAGGGGCCTGGAGCCCAACGGGAAGCTCGTGGAAGGAACCCCGAGAGGAAACAGTCTGCGGGAGGTCACAGTGCATTTATGGATTCTTCTCACCTCGTGTCTGGTTCGGACAGCTTGTTATACGGCACAGGTTAGGGGCTGGTTCACATTCAGCTTAGGCTGCCAGACAGGTGGCTTGAACAATAGAAAATTATTTTCTCACAGTTCTGGAGTCTGGGAGTCCAAGCTCAAGGTGTCAGCAGTTGCGCCTTCCCAGAGGCCTCTCTCCTTGGCTTGCCCATAGCCACCTTCTCTCTGTGTCCTCACGTGGTCTTTCTTCAGGGCATGTCTTGGCATCTCTCCGGGTGTTCACATCTCCTCTTAGAAGGACATGGGTCAGGTTGGAGTAAGGCCCACCCTAATGGCCCAATTATAACTTAATCACCCCTTTAGGGATCCTGTCTCCACATCCAGTCACGTTCTGAGGTCCTGGGGGTTAGGGCTTCAGCATGAGTGTTGAGGGGATGCAGGTCAGCCCCTGACAGCGCGGCAGCTGCCTGGACACATGGGTCTCGGTTCTCGGGCCCCGTTGGGATGTGGAGCAGGGAAGGATGGCTGGTGCATGCAGGGCTGAACTGGACGGCAGACCCTCTGGGGCTTGTAAAAGGAGAAGTGACCGTCTGCCAAGGGTGAGCACTGCGTTTTATACTGCTCTTGGTCCTTGCCCTTGGGGCATCCTGTGTCTCCTTCTCTAAAGGTCATCTCTTTCTCTTTTCCAGTTCTCCAGGCCTGGTCCTTGGACTGGACCTTCGCCCTGCCTGTTTTATACTTTTTTCTTCATATCCACCTCTTCCTTCTGCCCATTTTTGTAAGTCATTGTCTACAGGTTTCTGAAATAAGATGTTCTTTTATTATTTTTTTATTTAAGTAATTTCTGTGCCCAAAATGGGGCTCAAATTCACAACCCCAAGATCAAGTCTCGTGCTCTTCCAACTGAGCCAGCGAGGTGCTCCTGAAATAGATGTTCTTACTGGGGTAAATAGGAATGGCTAAAGTGGAAGGAAGATGATGACTGTCTATAAAGACTGTACTGGAAAAAGAATAAATAAAATAAAAATTTTGGGGGGAGGCACCTGGGTGGCTCAGTCATTAAGCATCTATCTGCCTTCAGCTTAGGTCATGATCCCAGAGTCCTGGGATTGAGTCCCGCATCAGGCTCCCTCCTCAGTGGGAAGCCTGCTTCTCCGCTTGTGTTCCCTCTCTCCCTGCCTCTCTGTCAAATAAATAAATAAAATCTTTAAAAAAATAAAATAAAAATTTTTTTTGAAAGATCCTGCTGGGGCTTCTAGACTTTCCCCATGTGGCAGCCAGCCTCCAAATGAGAAACACTGTAGCCCATCGCCATTCAATTTCCACAACCCCATGAGAGAGGTATTCTTATTTGTGTTATAAGTGGGGAAACTGAGGCTCAGAAGAGTTCATGAACTGTCCCAAGGTTACAGTATGAGGCAAAGCAAGGATTTAAACTCAGGCTTATGACAACCCACAGTCCAAGCTCAAGTCTTAGCTACGGAGTGACATTGGGGCCTCTGCTTCTACGGCACAAGCACGGTTATGAGAAACCGGCTCATGAATTGATAAGCTGCTGCCGCTTTCTCAGTTGGAGGGAGCTGTCTAAAAAGCGGCATGTGTCTTCACACTGGGGTTTTGCTCAGTACCGTGGGTGTGGGTGAAGGGACTCCACACATTGGAAATAACCTCAAGTCCATTCCCCCAGGCTTCTGAGAGCATGGTGAAGTGGTAAAGGCCATGGAGGCCAACTTCTAGACTCAAAAGCCAGTTCTACCATCTACTCACCATGTGACTTCTGGACCTCAGTTTCCTCGTCTATAAAAAGGGGCTGGCAAGTGTTCCTGTCTCAAAGAGTCGTAAGGATTAAAATAGATGTTATATGGAAAGTTCTTAAAACAGTGATTGGCACTTAACCGGTGTTATCTATTACCATCATCATCACCACCGGTATTTCCATTCTTAGAAAGGGCGATCTTGATTGTAAAGCATAGAAACATTCAGACTAACTTAAAAAAAAAAAAAAAAAGATTATTTATTTGACAGAGAAGGAGCAGGGGGAGGGGCAGTGGGAGAGGGAGAAGCAGACACCCCGCTGAGCGGGAAGCCCAACACGGCTCAATCCCAGGACCCAGAGATCATGACCTGAGCCTAAGGCAGACCCTTAACTGACCGAGCCACCCAGGCCACGCCCCACCCCCCACTCAGACTAACTTGAACTGCAAAAGGAATTTATCAGAGACGTAGGACTCTCACAGATCAAATAGGAGGACTTCCAGCTGGACCATTCGAGAGCCTGGAATCTGTACCTGCCAACCCACTGGGACTCAAGAACCTCACTTTTGTCCCTCTGAGACTACAATCTCTAACATTCAGCTGGGTCTGCTCCCCTCGTCTTCCTTCTGCAGGCCGGCTTTTTCTTTCTCTCTGTACTTGGCCAATAACTGCCCCAGCCCTAAAGCAGAATCCTCTCTCTTATCATACACTACCAGTTAGATAACTAGTATTCCATGTCCAGATTCCCAGGAGGAATCTGATGGCCTCACTTGGGTCAGCTGTCTACTCATGGTCCAGTCAACTGTGGCCAGTGGGACAGAGTCACACAATAGGACCGTGGCTGCAGGGGGGCCCACTGTACTGAGTAGGGAGAGTGGTTCCTTCCCCTCAGCACATTCTCTGTCAGTGTCCCTCAGAGAGGATCTTTTCTAGAAAATTATTGTTCTGTAACCACATTTGGAATTTCATTTCCATTGCCTTTATCCTACTTTGTTTCTACGTAATACTTATTACTATATGAAAGTGTATAGCATACTTGTACGTGTTTACTGCCTCCCTTACTCTAAAGAACGTAAGATTAAGAAAGGCAGGCAGTTTGTCTCATTCTTGGTTATAACCATGGTGCCTGGCCTATTGCCTGACACATAGTAGGGAATCAAGTGAGGATCTTATGGAAAAAATAAGGGCCCCATCAGTCAGACCAGTGTGTTTAGAAGTGGCAGTCTTCAGCTGGTCTAACTGCCAAATTTAATAGTTTCCCAGTATCGCTTTGCAAGATTTGCAATTGTGGTTAGCAAGCTGGTCTGTGGCCTGTGATTTGCTTTGAATCCAACTATCTATGAGACATAGCATTTTTTTTTTTTAAGATTTTATTTCTAAGTAATCTCTACACCCTATGTAGGGCCTGAACCCACAACCCCAAGATTAAGAGTCACATGCTCTACTGACTGAGCCAGCCAGGCGTCCCTCTATGAGACAGACTTTGGACAAAGACTCTGAAGTGAAGAGTGGGGACAAATGGAAGTCATCTATTCATCAGTTAATATATTTGTCATATGACAAAATTCCTACCTTACCAGGGACCAAGAGTGATGAATACTTAGAAAATGAGGACCCTCTGGGTAATAGGAGGGTCCAGAGAGGGCGGCTTTTAATCTGTTCAGGGGTACTAGAAGGCTTTACAGATGAAGTGACCTTTGAACAGTGTTCTAAAGGATGAGTAGGAGTTTCCCAGGTCTGTGGGGGTTGGAAGGGTATTCCAAGTAGAAGGAGGAGAGAACTTCACAAAGGTGAGCATGTAAGAGTAGGAGTTGAGGGGGTGTAGAAGTGGCTGAGAAACCAAGCAGAGGGAAATTCCAAATGGCCCTTTTTTTTTTAAGATTTTTTTTTAATTTATCTGACAGAGAAAGAGCATGAGCAGGGGGAGAGCAGAGGGAGAAGCAGGCTCCCCGCTGAGCAGGGACCACCCCCCGCCAAAGTGGGGCTCAATCCCAGGCCCCTGGGATCATGACCTGAGCCGAAGGCAGACACTTAACCGACTGAGCCACCCAGGTGCCCCCCCAAATGGCCCTTCTTTGCCAGGTTAAGGGTATCAGGGTGCCATCTGATGCAAATAACAACAACAAAAAAAAACCCAGATTCAAACCAGCTTAAAATAAGATTTAGTATTTCATGTAACAGGAAGTTCAGGGGGTAAGGCAGGCTCTAGGGTTGGTTAATTAAACGTCCAGTGATGTCAGTAAGGACCCCGGGTCTTTCCATTTCCATCTCTGCTGTATTGGCCCCAGCCAATAGCCTTGGGTTGGTTTCCTGTGCTGACAGTTGGCTTGCCTAAAATGGTTGGGCCTCTCTGCACTTCCTCCTTCATGTGCTGTCAGAGGTAGTGGCTTTCTGCCGCTCTCCCCCAAATGCAAAGAAACTTCTCCAAGCACCCTTCCCTGCTTTACTTCCCCATTCTTGAACTTCTGGGAAAGTG